AAATTGAGCCTGTGCAAGATCCTTTTAAGTGCACTCCTCTTCACTGTTTCTGTAGCACTGAGCTAGTGATACATAATGCCTGTTTCACTGTAGATTTAATCTTCCAAGCTGTATCTGTTAGTTGTATTTTAGTAGAATGCATAAGCAATAACATGCTGTTACAGCAACATTACCTCTTCTTCTTGTTCTTGATCTGATTCTGATTCCTTTCAGTTCCAAAATGCCATGCAGAACAAGAAGGGGAAAACAAAGCAGGCAAAATACAATTTTTTTAGAAGAAGAGAGTAGGAAAAATAACTTCTGACAACATTTAACAGAAAAGAAGAAAATGCAGTACACTTCTGCAGTTGATTTCTTATGTCACAAAGCAGCAAAACTAAACTGCCAGTTTAAAACACAAAAGGCTACAGAATCAAGCTTCTGGCTGTTAGACTTCTAGTGATCCTTATTTGTACCAAAACTTCAAATATAAACATGCTTTTGCACACATAAATCAGCACGAATAAATACATAAAATAATCAACAATGTTACCCATTTAAAGTTAAAATATGTTGAGATGTGTTATTTTTAAATTATACAGAAATGCTATAATAAAGATTATATTATATGCTAAAAGTGCTGAGAAAAAAAGAACACCAACAGGCAAGATTTTGGGCAAACAGCCTAATACATTCCTAAAAGGCATGCGGCTCCTAATCTGACAAGGACAGTAAAAAATCCGAGTTATCACAGAACAGCAATAAACTGACTCTTTCTAAGGAAGCAAGTGCTTCTTAATACCTGATCCCACTTAAACAGAAATCAAGGGCACTCCCATCATTTATGAGAATTCAGCTGGTCTCAATCTTGTTATTTATAAATACTAACTCATACTAGAATTTTCCTCTCCTTTTTCTGCCCTTGATGTTGGACCATTTTCTTCCCCAGGTACATTAATAACTGTTATAACAATAAGCTGAAGAAAGACCATTTACACGATGTGACATAATCATAGATTCTTGAAAGATTTGATCAGATATAGGAAGAAAGGTCAGTGTTAAAAGTCAATGTAATATTAAAATCCAGTCTAAGAAAATATTTTTGGCACCGCTAGAAACTTTGCAAATTCTAGAGCTCGTCTGCTACATTTTTATGACTATCAGCACAGATAAACAAGGCAGTTAGCTAAAAATGCTATTGCAAAGCCCATTAACTTTCAAACTGGCAAACGAAAAAATTACAAACAATTTTCAGTCCTTCTGTACCTCATACTTTAAGAACATTATATGATCTACAGACATTTTTCTTACACTTTGTGAAACAGGTATGAGTGGTAACTTCATCTCCAGGGAGGTGTCACAAGACACGGGTAGACAGTGTGGGAAGTCTTTCGGAAAACAAAAAAATGAACCTAGAGGTACTCACTGAGTCCCAGATCTGTCTTCACCCCTGAGCAGAATCTGGGTAGAATTTCTGTATGAGATACAATTAGCATAGGTCGTGTGCAACACCAAGTGAAGCCATGGGAGCTATGCAGTGCAAATTTTTGTCCCCCTTCTGTCATCTCTCCTGAGTCCTCAGAAAATATTCGATAGTATCTTCGAACACTGACATTAAGAGTACCAAACCCAAGAAACTGAAAGCTCTTGGGTGGGGTATTTATTCTTCTTCAAAATGCCTGACTACAAAGCTTTAATAATATTTTGCCCTCCTACTCGTTTCTTGTTTATATTATAATGAATGCTGATGACTACGGATCAGTGTAATTTCACAGTACCTTGGTGTAAACAGGTAAAGTGATGTTTAAATTACATATGGCTTGATGAACGAGGCCTCTTGTAGATTTGGGCTCCTTCATGAATGATAATCGTCCACAGGGTTCTTGAGTGGTATCTCGCACCTGGTAGAGCAAACATATGGACATTTAATCTGTTTGCTGTTTTGCTGTACAATCTACTTGTGCCACTCAAAACGGTTTTGCAGAAAGAGGCTAGACATGTGACAAAAAGTCCATGTAGGCAAAAATAATGTAGGGGCTGTTTTTTCCTGCTTGTTTGTAAATGTATATATGGATGTATTTGTGTGTCAAAGCAAGAGAAGACACAAGCATGTATGTGCTGACACATTAGAAACTTATTTACAGAGGGCAGTCCCAACACTGTAATCACAGTCTTAGAAGAACAGAGACATTCCAGTATGATTGGGCTTCTGTGACAACTTACAATACCCATTTTTCACTGAAATGATGGGACTCATTTGGGACTCATTCCCAAACTGGGACTCATTTTGTATTAGGCGACAAAAGGAACTAAGTAATTTTCCCCCCGTATGGCAAGAATACATATTTATGCTGATGTTAGCGATAACTCTTTGCTCAAAATTTTAGTTTTGAGCAAACAAAACTACTGTGTTTGTTCATTTGGCTACTCTTTTGGCTGAGTGGCTGAAAACAGTGAAAGATTACACTTAAAATTTCTTCTCTTCCAAAATGTTTTCTCAAATGTATTGATAAATCCTAGTCTTAGAATGAAGAAATTTGCTGGAATATATTTATAGGTGTGACCATTATTATCTACAAAGATACTACATCATGCCATACTTTAGGATTTTGCAGTGAATCTTGGAAAAATCTCTTTCACAGTTGTTGGTAGAAGTGTAAGCACTTAGAACTGAAGATACTGGTGACGTAGTTTTAGCTTTTGTACATAATGTCAGGAGGATTACGTATGACATCACAGAAGAAATACAACAATGAGAATTACCTCATTCTTAGTTTTCTGAACTGATAAAATGATACAATTAGATACATGTGTATTAACTTATCAGATTGAAAATACTAGCTACAAAGACAAACATTTTTGAACATATTTTGGAAAATCCATCATGGAGAAGAATACGCAAAGCCAAAGGTAGGTGGTGGCACAGATAAAGTTCTTCTCCAGAAGAGGTGGTGGTGGCTGGGTGACAGCAGCCCTCCCTGCTGCTAGCGCAGACCACCGTGACACTTACTGCTGCCTGCAGATCTCATGAACGACGCAGATGAGCCCCGTGGACTGTGGTTACGTCACTGGCTCTAGAGCTAGGGCTAAAGCTTTAGTTCATTTGGTTTTTTGGTTTGGCTTTTGTTTTACAAACTTTGCTACTCACGTAAAAGTTTTTATCATAGAATATTACAGTAATATACACTACAGGGATAAAATTAGGCCACAGTCCGGAATGTATCAAGATTAATTACTTCCTTTTTTCCTTTGTTCTCAAAAATCTGGTAAAATCGTAACTTGAAATACCCAAAAAGGAGCCATGCTTTTCTTACTCTACCCCCAAGGAAGTTTTGCATTGCTACTGAAGGGAGGATGACTGGTTGAAGAACAGTTCTATCCATATTTATATATATATATTTGCAAGTGTAGGGTACAACGACCATATTTTAATAGATTTCTGCCAATTCTACAATGTTTTCTGACACTGTTTTGGAGTTTCTGCATTTTTTCCTGCAATATATTGAACCATGATACAGAAAACCAAACAAGATCAAACTTGATCAGCTCTTCAGATGACTAGGCAGAGAACAGGATTCCGAGATGTTCCATTTTGGTGTCTGAAAGAATGCTGTGGACACATGCTTATACAGCACAGGTAATTGTATCTGGAGGAAAATTTTACTAAATGTTAGTGACTTCTGGTTGTTCTGACTACCCAAGTCAACATTTAATCCATTATCATAAAATAACTTGGAACTGTTCTTCAGTCTGCTGAGTTTACTGTAAACTCAGAAGCGGACAAAGAATAAAAACACAATCCATAGCTCACATTATAACGTTACCTTAACAAACAGAGGAAGTCTATTTTCTTTGAAGGCAAAAAAACTGAATATATGATGCTGCCCACTCTTTGTTAGTGGCACCAAATTGCCAAAGCAGTCAACATAGATGGGTTTTCCTTCTAATACCTATTGGAAATGAAAAATAAGCAAAGCAGAAATTAATCACAGTGAGGTGGTTAGGAGTTTGTCTTAAGTATAATTCTACAGTAGTTGTGATCAATTTCTTAAATTGCTAGGGACTTGTCAGCATTTACAAGATTTGTACAGTTATCTAAAATCTGTGGAAACATTTTAGATTATTAAATTCCAAATTGAATACATTGTTAATTCAGTGACAATAGCGTGACACTATAAATGACAAAATGAGTAGTCAGTGTCATGAATCTGGGAAAATTCTCAATCTGTATTTTAATTTGGATATTTTATTGGCTCTAATTTTAGCATACTTTGCTAACCTGGCCTCATCCTAACAGTCAAAGAAATATTTTCTTCAGCAATCACTTCAGAAGTCCTTGTTTTGACTGGTAGGATAAGAAGCCAGTCTGGGAATAGCATGAAGTTGCAGAGGACCTTTTTACCAATGCAAAAACTTTCTAAATTAGATTACCTATGTGTTCAATCTACTTGCAACAGCCTGTTGCAGCAGGCAAAGACAGTGTATATCAGCAGATTCTTTTTATTTCAGCTGGATTTGTAAAGGCCTAGGGCTTTTGAAAGTCAGGCCTCAGGTAAATGCCTCTCTGAAATGCCTACATGATGATACTGCCTATGTAATTTGGATCGCTATTGTTATGGCCCCTCCAGACGTTTAAATCTCAGCTTACCAGTTTTGGAGATGTTCCCTTCAAACTGCTAATACGTTAACGTCTCATCCTTCCTTAGCAGCAATTCAGCCCTATCATTCAGTTTTATAAGCCTATATTTTATCTAGCTCTTCTGCACAAGAAATGCTTGTTAGAGCTTCAGGAACAGTGAGGACAAATTTTGTAAAGGTGGGATTCTCACGGAAAAGAGACCATACTAAGCAGAAGAATATGCCATGCATGTAGTTAAAGCACTTTCAATTTGTCCTCCCTTCTGAGGAAGCTGACAGACAGAAAAACTGCATTTAGCAGGCAGTTTGCTGGATTCCACATAGGAAAACTTTTGCCTGTTCAGCAACAGATTTAATTTTTTTTTTTGTAAAGCAGAATATTAATCAAACCTGCTAGTTTAACTGCTTGGTATGCAAAGATGCTGACAAAACCTGACTACTGTTGACTGCCTTTTTGGTTAGTGATGTTCATTTATGGAGATACCAGAAGTTGAGCTTTACCTGTCCTTTTTGGCTTTAACTAGAAGGCAGAAAATATTAGCTTAAAAACAGACATTAGAAAATGGAGAAAACTGTTTAAGATTCTTGTACAGTACCTCTACATCCCTGCTTCTGGCAACTTCAGCAAAATTTTCTTGTTGTTCTAGAGTTTTATCCACCTTGTCATCTGTCATGCAAAAACATCGTAACCGTGCTTCAATGGGATCATGTGATTTGGCAAACACCACAAATTTGGCCATGTAGGGGACACAGATAATCTCTCTGTACACTTGGGAAGCGAAAGTAACAGATTCTTGTGTCTGTCGACAGTCTATCAACCAAAATCTGTAAAAGAAAATGAAGAGCTATGTAATCAGCAGAGAAAAATTTAAGCAAGAAAGTATGTTTTCCCATCTTGGCAGCGTTAGCTGATAACCACACCAATTGTACATGACAAGTCAGAACAAAGTAAAAAAAAAACAGTTACCATTTGGGAAGAACAACCTAAGAACACTCATGGTACCCCCTACACATTTAGGAGCATGAAGCAAAGGCAACAGGGAAAACATCTGGACCAGAAGTTACTCTCCTCAATACCCGATGCAAACCCTTCACAGAGTCCCCTGCTGCACAAGTACCAGGCCGTTGCTTGCCTTTCTGATAAGGTCTCACCCAGCTGGAAGCTTACTTGCTTCCAGGTACCTGACTGGCTTGTAGAGGCCTTAAGAAGTTCACTTGTCCTGCGGCAGACAGTCTCATACACCTTCTATGAAATTTGAAATATATTAACCTTTTCATATGTTTGTGTTTATGAGATATAAACATAATATTTAAATAATTATTGACGGTTTACCAAAATCAAGAAATTCTGGAAATTCATCACAGTATCCAATAAATGTTTTTTCTTCTATTCAAAAGTTGGCTATGGCCTAAATTTTTCATCAGAATTGATTCCTTATAGTGAGAATATGTGATCAAGTGTTTCCTGCTTTTTACCAAGAAAGAAATCTCTTCTAGAACAAGCTCAGCAGTCTCCATTTTCCATCACTTTCAGCAGTTTCTGATGATGTTTGAAATGGTGATTGATCTTACCACCATTCTTCTAGAGCTGCTCCAAAGGTCTCTGAATTTGTTCTTGTTTATCACCGGTCATTATTTGATTTCTGTGCAGAAGAGTAGAGACGGGTGTACTGGAAGTGTGCAGTTCAGATTTCCCCCTAACTGTGACTCTGCAATATGTGCCTTTCATCTAGAGAAATACAGGTTCTTTTTGACAGCTGGTTGCTGCTAAACATCTGATGATGCAGAAGACAGTAATGTCCCATAAAATTCTTACTAAAATTGCTTCTATCTAGTCAGCCTGTCATTTCTCCTCCAGATTGTGACTAAATCGTTAAACTACAGAGTGGGCAATTTCATCCTTTTCTCTTTAGCGGCGTTGTACCATTTCCTGTTTGTTAAGTGCCGGACACATCAGCATGCCACACTGGGGTGTTAGTGAACTGTGTACAAACTTGTGACGTTGACAGGGATGCTGTGAAAGTCTCCTGAATTTTATTGAAGAGGAATAGGAGACTGAAACGCCTTTTGGCATGTGTTGCTAATCCCTCACTCTGTTCTTGGACCTCCGTCTCTAACAGGTGAAAGAAAGCTGCCTTGCCCAAAACTTGTTTTTCTTCTACCATCTAGCTTAAAGGTTAGCAGTACATTCCTTACATACAATATCAAAAACTGAGGGTCTTTAGGTGAGTGTAAATGATTTTGTCCACTGTGTAACACTGCATGCAAAATCAGAAATTACAGGAGTTTGGTCAGGGACTTTCAACTTTGATTTTGTGGTAAGTTTTTGTTATGCATATTGAAGACCAGTGATATACATATTTCTATATCTAAGCCATGTTATATTTTGAAGACCCTGAGAGCAGATGTGTCCACATCTGATTCCTACTACCCTTGCCTCATGGAGGCTGTGATTATCACTGACTCACTTTTCATCATGGTTTCTAACATGATGTTTTACTGACAGCGTCTTTCTAACATATACGCTGAATCTTCTAGACCAGTGGTTCCCAGTCTGCGACACACGTACCACCAGTCAAACATAAACGTTCAAAGCAACAGGCAAGTACTACTGGAATAAATTACTTCCTCTGCACAGTGTGAAGCCACGAGCTGCCACTGCTGTCTCATTCAGGTACCACCATGACAGAGAAATACTTTAAGATTGCAGACTAAAGTCATACGTTCTCCGATTTCACTAACGTCATTATTACAAATGAACATCGGCCTCTTACAAAGTACTGCTAGTGCACGTGAATTGGAACAAGCCACCTCAAAACTTACCAAACGTACATGGTTACTTAAGACAAACCACGGATGTTGTGACTCGGGTCTAGAGCTTCAGCTTCCAAATCAGGTCCTCTTGTGTCAAAACCGACCCTCCTCTTCACTGAAAACTACAGGTTCTTTACCCTTTCTTTGGGCCATTCAGGCCAGGACAATATTGCCCAGTAATAAAAATTGACAGAATTTCCTTATACCCTTGTCAAGACAACTGAATTGTTAATTTTGCAAAGGTAACAACTTTCACTTAAAATAATTTTACTTCTACTCCCAAAATTTAACAGCAGAAATGCACCAAGCATTTTACAAGGAGTAAGATGCATTGCCTTCTTTCTCAGGTATCACTTCATTTAGTTTCTCTGTGGAGCTGATGATATTTCTTTTAAATAAAACTCACTGTGTGGGCAGAAAGCATGCTTGAAGTTGACACCCGTAGGATGGAGACAGAAGTCATGAGAGGTCAAAGACACCTGAAAAGCTGATATAATCTACAGGGGGCTTATTACTTACTGTAGATTACATGGTATTATAACCCACAAAGCATACCTTTCAAGTGTGATTTCTCTGGACTTACTCATCTGCAGTTGAATAATAGTGAATTTCATGCTGTGCTCACTTATCTTCAGAACATTTAACAAACACACTGCTTAAAAAACAGGCTGATGACATTTGAGAGGAAGCATGTTTGGTACATAAAGGCTCTGCATACTGATACGTTCCTTTTCGTGTGTGGGAGAATTATGCTATGCTGGACTCAAACTGGGGGGGGCTATATCCTCTGAGAAATCACCATATGCTTAAATGATGTGCTGTCATACACCAGAGGCTAAAAAGCCCAGACACTAAATTGGTAAAAAAGCTGCAGCTCCGGAAATGGAAAACAGCTATGCCTCAAAGTCTGCAGTTTAATTCCTTTTGTATTTTAGACAAATATGTATCTTCCCAAGCTCATTTGGGACAGAATTAGTCTTATGACTGGGAAAATTGTTCTCCATCATGAATGATTTAACTAGACATAAACAAGTCACTGTGAATAGCAAACAGTCAGGAATCAGCTGATTCTCAGCAGGGCACAAGGGTAGATGCACTTTTAAACCACGGCACAAGTGAAGAAATTCAAGTTAGCTTGTCCTTCGGCAAAGAAGGTGATTCATTCTCTGACTGTAAATACATGAAAAATCCCATTTTCTAACTTTAACAGCATTTAAAATCATGCTTGGGTTAAAGTAGTCTGTTGAACATTCATTTAGATTAAAAAGAAGAGGTAGAACCCTTTCAAATCTCTACATGGGACCCCGCCTATATCAGAGAACATTAGCAATAGTAATCAATTTTAATGTCATCATCGGGATTAGGAAACATCCACTACTAATATGGATTATAGTTCCATAAACTGTCGGCCTCACTCTGGCTGTATTTCATGCGTAGCCCTGCTGGGGACTTCAACCTCTCAAACCTTGCATCTAGTCTCCATATCTGGTTCTTAAATTAATCTCTAATTTATCCCTTTAAACAGAACACTGCAGGTAGCAGAGGAGAGCTCAAACACACTTGAAGGTCTCCCTCTTGTGGTCACTGCTCGTAAAGAAAAATGTTCAGTTGAACTCAAATGTACGTAAGCAAAGCATCCAACTTAATGGGAAGAAAGCCATTTCTGAACTGAGAAAGTACAGACAAATAATACTTTATTTTGCCTACTGTTAAAGTTACACTGTAGACTGGACTGCAAGAGCTGAACTCATTTTAAAGTTGAATAAATTATTTCATTAAATAGCAAACCTAATCTAATAGTAATAACTGCTCTGAACACTGAATTGATTCTCATGGGCAAGTTATCCCAGATTTTTATAACTGTTTGCTGGACTACATACCCTAAACGTAATGCTTTATAGGTCATGGACTGCATCTCCTGTTACAGAGAAGGAGATGTTTGAGCATTTCTGTGATACAAATCATGGACAGTATACAAACTAAAATACATACATACATATATATGTATGGGCTCAGAGGGCTGGAGCACCTCTGCTGTGAGGACAGGCTGAGAGAGCTGGGGTTGTTCAGCCTGGAGAAGAGAAGGCTCCGGGGGGACCTTAGAGCAGCCTTCCAGTGCCTACAGGGGCCGACAAGAAAGCTGGGGAGGGACATTTTACAAGGACAGGGAGTGATAGGACAGGGGGCAATGGCTTTGAACTGGAAGAGGGAAGATTTAGATGAGATATTAGGAAGAAATTCTTTCTGATGAGAGTGGTGAGGCTCTGGCACAGGTCGCCCCGAAAAACTGTGGATGCCCCAGCCCTGGAAGTGTTCAAGGCCAGGTTGGATGGGGCTGTGAGCAACCTGGTCTGGTGGGAGGTGTCCCTGCCCATGGCAGGGGGGGTGGAACTGGGTGGGCTTTAAGGTCCCTTCCAACCCAAACCATTCTGTGATTCTATGATATATAGAGAGAGCATTATTTATTTTAATATGAAACTCTGTTTTCAGAAAGACAGCAGCTGAATCTCATCATAAGAACAGATGGTTGGAAGAGATTCTTCTAGATCACAGTTTGGTACACCTACAGGCTTGATTTCTCATTTGTTGGGTATTCTGGAAGTAACATCTTCTATAAGATATATAACGAGCTATCCAGATAAGGGATTTCTGGTTCCATGGAAATTTGCCTATTTCTGCATCTGGGAGAGAAGGCGTATTCAAAATAGAACCAGATTTTTTTCTACCTACCTGAAGATTGAACTGTGCCTCAGATTACTATTTCAGAAAAATGAGTATACCATTAATTCATTTCTGGGATCATAGCAGGTGCTGACTGCAAGGGACTAATTGCTGAGATAAAAATGACAAGAACGTAAATTTCTTTCCACAGCTAGTAAGGACTTGTAGTGCTTACAGCTCTGGTACCTCATCTGTCTGGGCTAGGAGGCTCAGGGCTTCCAAAATACCTCGCCAATTGGTTTACAGCATAGACAAAATATCTATGTTCCTGCTACTATATAAACTAAAATAGTTTAAAGGAAATATTTGTTGAAAAAAGACATGCACTTGAAAGTAACACTGTAAAACTCATGTTTTGTTGTGTAGGTACCTGGCAGACACATTTGTTGTGAAGGAAACACATTCATTAACAAAGGTCAGTGGTGTTGTTCCAGTGATGTCTTCCCATTGGGCAGGGGTGGTGCCTCCTGAAATGACAGAGATTTTTAAAAAACTTAAAACCAAGGAAGTCTGCAACTTTCTTGCTTCTAAGAAATATTTTACATTCTTCTGAGTTTTTAATCACTATGAAACCAGTAATAATCCCACACATGCCCTCTCCTTAGGTCCACATTATCCCACTAGTGCTAGTTGGATTGTATGGGTTTCGCCTGAGAAAACGAAGTGCCCAAATGATTTTCAAATGATGAATCCTGTAGCACAGCTCCAGAAGTGTAAAAAAGGCTAGAATTTTGCAGGGGGGAGAGATGTAATTTATTAGAAATTACTTTTGTTTGTTCTAGACTATTCACATGTGCGGGGCAAAATTGGCCCAGATATAGTGCAGTTAAACCTGTATCGTTACACTTGGGAAACAATCACAATGTCGCTAATAACGACAACTACAATTTATGATTTCTATCATCTACTTCTTTTTCAAATAATTCAAAAGACTCAGGTCCAGTACGTACATAACTAACTATGAAATTTCTTTTGTACATTGCTGTGAAAACCTATGAAACAATCTGTGTTTGACAAGCTCCCTGGAAGATCCAGCAGCTGACATGTGCACCTCCACATCCTGCTGTACCATAGACGGCCTTCTGGATTCCTGTCCATCTAGTAAGTGTTTCAGCCCTCTCCGTCACAGACCTTGCCAGCTTCCTGTTTGGCCCATGTGGCTGAAAATGTGGGCACAATCTGTCACCCTGCAGCTGTGTTTTCAAGTTCTTCAGTAGATGTCCCTGCCTCACTTTTTGGTGAAGAATGTCCAATTGGTTTCCAGTTACCTTAAAAATCACCCTGAGCTTACAGAAAACAGAAATAGAAGTGTTTATTTCTAACAGCAGTTACAAATATTTATAAAACACATATGAAGAACTAAAGGAAAAACTATGCATAACCAGGGCGAAGTCAGAATATGTGTCTGTCCCTCCTCTCATATACAGCCGACTTGTTAGATATCCATTTAGGCATGTAGCAGAGTCTTTACGCAAACCTTAAACCAAGTTGTACCTCTAAAGGAATACTACTTTTCAGGAAATACCTCCTTTCGGTGACGCATTCTTGGAACCAGTTTCCCTTTTGAAGTTTTCTAGAGGATCCTTGCAGATTTACTGTCCCTCCAGCAAACTTACTCAAATTCCTCTTTATTTATTTCTCTATTTAAATAAACATTGTTTCAGTCTCTTAGTCTCTTGGAAATGCAAATACTTCTTTGTTGACCAGATGTTGTTTCTGGTATTTCAGCAGCTACCTAACACCTTTGTATCGGGAAACTGTAAAAGCACCTGTTCTCCCGAATGACTCATTGGCACATCTCAGTCTGTGATGCAGCTTACATTGGGTTGATATTTGAAATCAGTTTGAAAATTAAGAAGGATGCTAAATTCTAAACAGAATAAATGCCTGCAGCTCATTTCTGCCTCTTAACTGAGACAGAATGAGACACTAATCACTTTGGAGTTACAGCAAGTATAAAGTGTTTAACTCCAATATTTTCCTCTGAAGCATACTGCAACATTATGTCTGTACTGCATTTACTGTGCCAGGCAGAGGTTTGTTGGTTCTCAAGAAACAAACTGTAAGGAAAATGCAAAAAAAACCCCAAACAACCAAAAACCCTGAAGTCTATGATTATATTACACATCTCTTGTTAGTCCAAACAACAAATGTTATTTCTGCTATAAAGTAATTGCTTGGAAAGTAGTTTATTTTCACAGCCTCTCATCCCAGTCAGGTTTTCACCGAGCTTTCCATGTGTATAATCAGTTTAACATATTCAGCCCACGATGACTGACAATTTCAGGAGGCAGATAAAAAGCTCTAGTATTTGCATCCTACCTGTTATGCTGCATAGTAACCTTAAAGTGGGTGTGTCGCCTCCATAGCCATTCATGATCCCATCACTGGAGGCCTTGGGGACAGGAATCGTCATCGTGATGGGTTTATGGAACTTCCTTCTCCTGGGCTCCAGTGTGACTATAGGACTGAAGGTAGCCTTGTTGCCTAAAATCTTCTTTGTAAGTTCAGTATGCATAGGTTGAGCCTTTCCAAAGCAAAAGACAGTAACAGAATAGTTACTTGAAAACAGTTTAATGAGTATGTAAAGAACTGGGACTGTATATTGCCATGAAACCCTTAAGTAACCCTTAAGTTTTTACACTAAATGGCAAAATTTCCCATGAAAATGTTCAGACAGAAGAACTGACTGCCAGTGAGAAGGGGAGACCTCCCTTTTTCAACTTCCCCACACCTTCCTCCTCTTCCTGTCTGCTTTCTTGATGCTTGTCAGAGCCTTTACACCATTAATTTAATTCACTTAACCAGTAGCAAATGATTCCCTCGTCACCTTTTTTCCCCCCCCCCCTTAGAACAAGCTCTGCGCTATTAAATTTAGTAAGCTGTTCAGCTGTTCATGGGGATTTCAACAAGCAGAGTCTCCTGGCCAAGGTAAGTTGTGGATGCAAGCAGCAGGAGCAGGGGATGGAGGGAGGGGAAAGACTTCCCCCTCTTTCAGCGGTGAACTGGTAAGCTTGGTTTACTTCACTCTGAGAATCTCTGCATTTGACATAGCTATTACAGCACTTTGTGCCTCTCTGATGCCTTTCATAAGAAGTATTTAAGAAATTGTTCTATGACCTACACTAATATCATCATCATGACCAAAATTAGGTGCTTTTCCCAAGATCATATAGACAGTTAACAGGCAGGAATCTGAATTAACTGGAATACCCAAAGCTTTACTACTTGCTTTGACTTTTGTGTGGATTCTTTTTGAAAATTATTTTTACTAGAAGCATTCTAGACAAACAACATACAACATGATAAGTGGAATATGCTGGTTGTCCATTCAAAGAAGGTGATTTTACACTTAAAAAAAAAAAAAAAAAGCCCTGTACCTGGAGGCCAACGCGAATTCGTTTGGTCAGAGCCCCTTCTGGGAAGACTGCCTGCACTTGTGGTACAACAGTGCTGCTCAGCACACCTCCCTCAGGTCCGATAAGGTTGCTGTCCTGTTTGATCCGGGATACCACTGCAAAGTACTGAGGGAAATCTCGGGTGATGATGCGGCAGATACGTTTCTTCTCCAGCTCCTCTGGAGGGTCAAGTACTAAGGCCAGAAGAGCAGATGGTCAGAAGACAAGAATTTCATAGGAAGAATACTGCAAAACTTCAAAACGCATTCAGTCTTTTCACAGTTTAACTGCAACTTACAAAAGTATTTTGTCTGGAAATCAAAGGGGAAAAGGAAACACACCCCAGTATTTTAAGTTCAGCTAAAACAGAGAAATCAAGAAAGGAACAGACAGACAGAACAACTAACTGAAGGGAGCTTGAGACAGCAAACGCGGAACATGTTGACAACATCCCGAAAATCAGCAGGCAAACAAGCAGAGGGATTGGTCCAAGGCCCTTTCTGCTTCACACGTTTACACTATGGCCTGCAGTAGCATCAAGGAAACTAAAGTCTAAATCAAAAAAGTATCAAAGTATGAGTTCATCTTTAAGTATGTGAGTTGGCTTGTTTACTTTGTTGGTTTTTTTTTTAAAAAGCCATCAAAATTAATAACAAATTCTGCAGATCCTAGACAGCCCAAGGCCATTCTGTTCTCTCAGAAAGCAAGAGTACCCATGACTGACATTTCCTCCCACACATGTAGCTGCTTGGAAAGGATTAGTATGATAATTGCCTTGTTTTGGAAAGATGTTTGCTACAGAAGCTTTTCCCTTAACACTATGAAAAGGAGCGGTAGAAAACATAAGTCTAGCATCTATTCTCAACTTCATGATGGTAGATTTTGTTTTATGCCACTACTTCAGCAGACCATGCAAGGGAAGTAAGCACAAGTACACAGTGCTTCTGCTGCCTCCTGTACTGAGAACGTGATTTATGCTCCACGGTGACTGAAGTGAAGTATCTGGAGAATGTAGCATCAGAAATTCTAGGGTGGACCAAACATGAGGTGCTAAATAGAATAAATGGTAAAAAGCTATTACCCCCAGTTACAGGAACAGGATTTAAAAAAAAGAGTCACACTGGATACCTTCATCCATCCCATTCAAGATTTCATTCAGTTCATCCTCAGTGTATTCACAGAAGTGCTCCTTCCAGCTGTCCCCGTTCTCACTGCGCAGGATCACCAGCTCTCTCTCCTTCCCACGCAGAGCAGCAAAATGGGGAATCTCCACAATCACAGGCCTGGCACAGCAACACAGCGCATTAAATGCACACGGGAGAGAGGAAGAAACAGGATTAACAGCAACTCTATTCAGTCTGCTACAAAGTGACCTGGAATTCTACCTATTTTGCTGGAGTATTTTGGCATAATCCTAAACTAGTAGGTCACTAACACGTACTAGATTTTTACAGGGACCCAGTAAATACTGAAGGACAGATTAAAAAGTGCATTCACCTCTCTCCACAGTGTGAATGATATTTGGTAATATAATAGTGCTTAGCTAGAAATTTGGTGATTGTTTTGCAAATTCATTAAAAACTCATGCTCATTCTAGTTGTCACTACTGTGTGCATTAACCTGTGCAACTTCATTCAAAGAGAATCTACTGTAACATACATGAATAATGGGACAAATTCTGATCTCACTTATACTAGTGCAAATCAGAATAATTTCATTGCAATCAGTGGGCAATTGTGTCCTGTGCCAATTTTACTTCATCATAATTCTATAGATTCCAATGAATTTATTCCTGATTTACACTCTGGGAGAGACAAAGGAGGTCTGAGGAGATCATCTGGGTTTCTATTTCAGTATAGGAGATAAGAATTTGCCTCGTTGCCTTACAAGCAAATGTCAATAGATGTATCAGTGCATGTGTCCATATACACACACACACACCCCCACACACCCCATATGTGTACATATAATATATCTATATTTATCTATACATATACATACATGCTCTTAGAAATAGGAGAGAAAATACAAATATATTTGTATATACACTTCTCTAATTAGAGGACTCGCACAGGTTACTACGTACATAGTAAATGTCGTGTTCTATTATACTGGTGGTATCCAACAGATAACTTACTGTTTAATCAGTCCTTGATAGAAAAAAACATCTTAAAATTTACAGTAGATTCCTTTTTGTTTTTCTTTGTGTCCCAATCCAGGTTGCTTTGCTACAGACATCAAGCACATAACTAGGAAGATTTCATGCCAAAACAAAAATGAAGGCCACAGTACTTTAAGAAAAAGATACAAACATACCACCAAAACAAAACCACATACCACAAGGGTTGAAAAATGGTCCACTAAGGGTTAGGTATACAAAATTTCAAATGATAGAAAGGGACAATATCATGGGCATAATGACATAAAAAAATCATATTGCAGAAGGAGGAGAAGAATGGGGAGGTCAGCATCCATCAATTTGTTTCAAGTCTCTCCTACCCAAGGAATTTGGTCCCAGGAGGCCCCAGCTGAAGGATTCGGCTGACCAAGCTTTCTCCCTCATTAAGTGGGGGAGGAGCCGTAGGCAGATGAAGTTTACTGAGTACATCCAAAGCAGCAGTGAAAGAAAGAACATAAATAAACTTTATGTATTTTTCGTGCCAGAACGCCAGTGCCACTGTCTGGTCCACAGAGTGGAATTAGGCTGTACACTGAATAAGGTTCCGCCCTAGCGATGACAATTTGGTGATCCAAATCAGCAAAATCAGTTTCCTTAATTGAGGATCTTTTCTTGCTTATGGGAAGACAATGGGAGTTTTGGCAGTGAACAGGATTTGGACCTTAGAATGCATCTCTGCCCAGAGTACAGTAATTTTCTGATTTCACTGCCAGTGCAACACCTAGAAAAACATTTGCAGGAAGGGCACAAAGATCTGAGCATGAATAAAAATATCCTGGCCTTTCAGGTGTCACAGTCTCATTAGATAGAGAAACCATTAAAAAGAAAATGGGAGACATACTTAAGATCAATTTGTGTGTGACAAAGATAATGGGAAGACTGAATGTGACAGCACAGTACTTCTGCTTTTTAGATTTCTTTCTGCCTCTCTTTAAAAGTCACCAAGATGTGAAAAGAATAAATGGTACAAAGCATCTGATTAGCCAGCTTGTTTGCTGTGACTTGTGATATCAAGAGGTATCCTGTCTGTCAAAAGGAATGGTTGGCTTGCTCTTAGCATCACATTCGCAGTGCTTCACAACTGCTTTCGCTTTTTTACCAGATTAGAGCAACAGGGAAGTAGCCAAACCGTGTCTCGGGTATGTTCTCCTTTCACCCTCCTTGCCAAAGCAGTGGGCAGTTAAAAACTAGCAGTCAACTTTTTTCTCTCCCTGAGCTCAATCCTTTAGAGAAAGCACTAACGAACATAGTGGCTCTGATGACTGCCTGTTGCAATAGGATTTTAAAGCAACTGGTTTGTTTTGAAATGGATTTAAACTATTGCTGTTTAGCAGAGTCACTTTTTTTACAGTTTCTGAATGAAGCTATTTCTTATAATAGAAGGGGTTCCTTCAATCATCCACTTTTGGATGCCACAGTTGATAAGGGGGTACAGTTGGTAAAACAAATTAAAAAAAGTGTGGATAACTGCTGCTTTCAGCTGAAAATTGCTCAAACAAGCTCAGCAGCAGACACAAATCTGATCTTTCTAAAGGGTTTTGCAGCATAGGACAAAAGAAATGACCAAAAAAATCCAGGGTTGTCCTATTGCTTAATCGAGCGATTTCAACCCCAGAAAAATCAAAGGCACTGTGCTTCCCAGATAGTCCAAATTACTGATGACACAACACAAGTCTCTATGAAGCAGCTGTAACTTGTGTTGTACATGTAGCAGGTTTACATTTGGGCTTTCCATCAGTGCTGTGCTATTCATGCCTTACATGTAAATTATTTAAATACAGTATGAACTGCCTTTTCTGGCTGCAAAGAGGTCTTTTCCCACTATAATATCACAACACTGAGTAATAATTATATCCAAGGAAGCACACTAACCTTAGCGCTACTGGTTAAAATATCCGTTTTCAAAGGGAAAGGCATAAAAGCTTTGTGAATTGTTAACCAACAACTGATTCGTATTCCACGTGACCAGTCTGTTACCATATGTTACAAACATCTTTCCCTGTTCAAGTCTTGAAAAAGGAACCATTTCAGTGCAACTTGCAAACAGAGGAAGGTAGACTGAACGTTTTCCTTTCGGCCATACGGCACCCCTTACCCAAGAAACTGAGCACCAGAAGGTCCAACTTCAATCAGGCGGCTGGCCAGGCCCTCGCCTTCCACCATAGGAGGCATGGTGGCCAGTCTGTGGCGTTTCACCAACCGGCAAGTCACTCGTGTCGGAGCAGTGCACTTCCGCGGAGGAATAATGATTCGCAGTCCGTTATGTCTGCAGCCTCTCATGGCACCCCCACGAGCATCCACCATGAAACTAACTAGGAAGCTGAAAAATCAGGGGAAAAAAATTAGATACAAAACATATCGAACTTCCTTTGGTTATCTTCTACATACAGAACAAACTATGTATGTAAATATAGCTCTTTCTCAAGATGTACAATTAGAAAAAGCCTTTCTCCCATGTGAAACACCAAATCATGCTAAGATCGTTTATTAATTAAACTGACAACTGCTATCTAAGAGTTCCTCACAGAAAGTCTTATTTTACAGTGCTGCTGGTGGTGAAAATACCAGTAGTCACTAATAAATGTAAGTACACGTGTATGTATCTTATTAGAGACAAACTCAAGTGCAAATATCACAACTCTGTACCTATATATGGTAAGCATCTATATGGTAAGGCTGGCACTCTTTAAATACTTCACAAGCAAATACATCTTACTGAAGAAAATTATTTATGACTTAGGAATATAAAGCCAATTCTGATTGGAGGGGCTGTTGGGGTTTTTTTAGGTTATCTGTATAATTTTCTAGTTATTTGAGAAACTATAATTTCTAACCAAAAATGGGTTTGGATTAAAAAAAAAAATCAAATTTCGTTCTGGAGTGCAAGGATACAATTTGTAGTATATCAGTGGAGCTAGCGCCTATTTATATAAAAAACCCAACATGTCACTATTGTTTGAAGACAAATTTTGGATTTTGGTGAGATGACAATAGCTACAGTCCCTGTATAAGAGGTTTATTTACGGAATTTTCTTTTTTCTGTGTTACTTTGCACAGCAATACAATGTCCCAGTGGAAAACTTACAGATGCAGAAAGCCATCTACAGGGAGCCCTCTTCTGAAACAAGGTAAATTATCCTACTTATTTTTCTTTAAAAGGGAGAAAAACATTTCATGGAATTTCTTTTATGCTGAACTTTTTATAGTTCCATATATAACCAACAGGTAGATTTTGACAGATTTGTTACAAAGATTGGGGACATTCTTGGGAAAGGTGTAGAACTACTTCAGGTTTTTTTACTGGTTTATGACTTAGGATCATGCCTGATGTGGGATGGGAATGTCAGGTTGCTGGAAGTGAAAATAAGAGGAGATGAGACAGAACGGTATCAGGCCTACTTCTAGCCACTAAAATAGAATCATCACATGGGGAGTCGCAGAAATGCTACTGAAGGACCTGCAATAGAGAAAAGCCCTTATAACATGAGTAACAAATACAGGTGTTTTTCCACTGTCCCCTTGACCGTTCTGTGCAACAAACATTGCATCCATTCATTGTCCACCCAGCTACAAGTAATTCCACATGCTGTAAAAACACAACACTCAACACACCGTGCAAGTCAGAAAAATGGATGATGGGAAGGAGCCACAAGCGCCAGTCAGAAGCACACCATGCACCACGGATGCCAGTCTTTCTCACACATGCAGTCTCCTATTCTACTGCCATTCATATACCTCTAGGTTTTGTTTAGTGTAAAAGGCTGGGTAGTACAACCATTAGCTCATTCCTTAGAGGTTGGTGTTTCTGTGGTTTTAACAAGGGGGAAAAAAACAAAATGAAAACATTTTACAGCTTTGATTCTCTGGGAATTAATGGAGAAAAATGGGAGCTTCCTTCATAAATACATACTTTATACATTTTAAAGCACAGATGAAAGAAGAGCTTAAGAGATGCTGAATGCTCGATTGTTGCAATAATGCTCTATGGCTTGCACTACAATTTTCCTTTAACTGTGTGAAGCAGTGTTATCAAAGTGGTTCGGAGTTACGTTTCAGAGAATCGGTCCAAGTCTCTATTATAATGGGTGCGCTAGAGGTAGTTAATAACACCGAGTGCTGGAAGAAGAGTTTCACATTTTGACGCTAATGCTGTGAGCAACAGAAATCCTGCCCCCACAATCACCAGAAGCTAATGAGTGCACTTACTGAATTAAATTAGCATTCGCATTTTTCATTGTGTAAGCTCTCACGAATACAATTTTTAGGATTTAATTATTTTCATTATTGATGTAATACTCAAGATTGTATACTTTAACAATGAGATCACCTTCTTTTGCTGTCCATCACTGAAATATTAGGGCTACGTCATCTGTCTTATGTCCTCCTTAGCTTATCTCCCCATGTGTCTCAGCATTGCCAAAACCACCATTAACTGCTAGAAGAATGCATACACACAAAAGGTAAGGGTCCCAATCAAATAATCTCCCTTCTGACCCCAATAACGGGTTTGTTGCTTTTATTATGGTGCTCTTTCCCCGTATAGCAATTCCTTTCAGACTAACTAAAAGATAAGCAGAGTGCTGAAATAGTAGTGCCTTCTCATAAAGCACACGTTACACAATTAAGATAACTAGCTTGTGGCGTAGAACCAATATAAAAGCTGAAGAGGCAGGAGTAGTCTTTGATTTTGACCATCTGTACCAAACTGATATCTCACCTCACACAGACAGTTGTAGCATTGTGTTCCCACGCCTGCAAAACTTGGGATCTAACACAGATCGGTTGGAAATGGAGTATGGAATTGGTCTCTAGTGAGCACTCGAGATGGAAAGGGATAGCTGCGTGTGTTCAGGCCTGAAAGCTGCAACTCTTGCCTTCAGTTTCTGTTTACTGAATGCACCTGGTGGGTCGGAGCAAGGTCTGGCAGTGAGTCTATCACAAGGTCTATCAGTCATCTATCACTGAAACCAACTATTGCTCAAAGAGTGGAAAAACAGGCAAAGGTAGGTATCGTTGGAAGGTGGACACAAAGAGAACAATGGTTAGGATAAAATCAGTAGGATGTTATTATTATTCACTGTAAAGACAGCTGTTTCTATCATAAAGATCTAATGTATTTACTAAATAATGAGACGCAATCTGGCAAACAGGACTGTTCATCCCCATGTACACCAAAAAATAGATTTGTGCCGTATCACTGAGACAGACCCTCAGATGAAGTGGGAGATTCCTGAAGGGTTCTGTGACTTCTGGATGAGCCTGAAACCACCTAAGAGACTGCAGGTACCCTTCCACTGCTGGACAGCAAATTCAGGCAAACAGAGAACAGTGTGAGGTCAGCATAGAAAGGTTAGTATCAATTATCATGCTAAATATGGAGGAGACTGTTCACAAAACCAGCTATATACTACCTTGAAAGTTCCAGAAAACAAATTTTGGAGAACTAGAACTATAGTGCAAAAGAAAGAAACTGAAGGGGAAAATTCCTCAGCTCCAGGGTTGTGGTGTAAAAGTCTGAAAGGATAGTACACTGATGCAGGATTTGTAGAGCTGACACAGAATGTACAAATACGTTCTTTTTCACCGTACCACCTGTTTATTTCCCAACCTTTTGCCACATTCATTTTTTCATCCACTTATTTAATCCAATTCCTTTTCATCACTTTTTTTTTCTTAAATCAGCACATTTCACATAATTTTGGATATGCAATAGAGTCAAGCAAATAATTCATAACAAAGCATTTTCTGAATCATAGCAGCCTCTTTCTCTGCCTATTTGCTACATAATAAGGCATCTGGATGGTGACATTACTGTTCCAGGGCTGGAAAAGCTTTGTCCTTCTGAAGGACTGTGTATATCAATATACAAGTAATTCATACAAAACTAATGCATGACATAATACACGCTTTCTGAAATGTGCATTTAGGAAAGTGAAAAAAATTGGGTGACTAATATAAATGAAACATAAAATGCAAATTAATTATTTTGTTGCCCACGCACACACACATGACTTTTTCCTCTCCCTGTTTCTTTTACCAGATGTTGTTAAGCAACAAGACCGAGATAGGAAGAGACAGTACTCAAATGAACAAACAAAACTAACAGGAATAATTGGCGGATTAAGGCATCACTCTGGGTAGTGGTACCTTTTCATTCCAAATTCCCATAGTCAAAAAGAAAATAATACGTAATACTAGCACATGAATAACCCTAACATCGTATATTCTCCCTGAAGCTTAGGTGCAAGGGTGCTTCTCTTCTTGCATGCAGAGAGAGAGTGCTCTGCTTTACCATCCCTGAGAGGTACCCGTGCAATCTTTGCATCGGCCTTCCCTGCTCTGACTGAAAACCTCCTAACACCCTCCGTCTGCCAAGGGCACTGGGCACCCTCTGCTCCTGCTGACTGCGTGGTGCAAAAAGTGACTTTGGGCTAAGCGGGAAACTCGGAGCTTACTCCGTGTTCCAATTGCAGGAAGCACTACTACAAGCACTACATAGATGGTTGCATCTAGGTACAGAGAATGAAGAGGAGAGGGCTCGTTCAAGAGAAACACAAATGGCTGTGGAGAGTTCAAGAGAAAAGAAAAAAAAAGTTAATAAAAGGGATTAAAGGGAATCGGAAAGCTCTTACAGGTTATCACTAGAAGAGGAGAAGAAAGGAGGCATCCTAAAAAAATTAGGCTGATAATATTCCTTACGTGCTTCTATGGTAATTTATTATAATGTTAAAAATCAAAGAAAATGTGAAAAACCAAAATAACTTACAGGAACTCTATGTAGATATAATAGCTACAATTTTCAGAAGGAGTTAAAAATGGCATAAGAGGGGAAGGAAAACCTTAGCAGGGACTAACTATGGTTAGGAGAAATGAGGTAAAACTGAGGAGAGGGAAAACTATATAAATAGGAGAAGACTTTTGGACAGCTGATAAGTAGGAAACATTCTTGTGAGCCATTTAAAACAAAGGTGGCCAAAATAAGTGAACAGACTGATCAAGCAATGCATCAAAATTGCCTGTACTTTCCCTCAGCAACAGTCTATTTCAGAACATGTTTTAAATGTCCTTCCTATAATAACTATATATAAGGGAAGCATCCTTCCTTAGCGCTGACTTCAGTTTATCTTGGCAACCCATGGCAAGAACTTAAATTTCAATTAGGTGATGATTCAAAAATCAAAGCAGATTATGGGTTATAGCAGCAAAGTCAAAATTGGTATGTCAAGGGTGACTAGAGCAACGAGACAATCTTTCTCAGTACTAAGACAGCCTTTGAGTAAGTTTCATTTTCTGCCGGTTGTAAAGGTTCCGTTAGAAATGATGCATGACACAAACATGTGACCCCCACACTCTTGCAAATTGGATTGATACTGAGCTTTCCTGAGATTTAGCAAGGTGGAAGTCCAATATAATAGCCAAATCAATGAAACAAATTAGGCTTGGGGAAATTATTGCCTTCTGTCTTTTAAAGAGAATGAAGGGGAAATCGGGATTTATTTTTTTTAAAAAAGAAAAAGAACAAAAGCAAATCTTTTCTAGGAATAAGTTATAGACTGCAGGGGAGTCTATACATGCTTGTGTTAAACACATGTTAGCAGTTAGATCAAGCATCATCCATTCTCCTCTAATTTAGCAATACTTACTCATAAATTAGAGAGGCCGTTTCATCCTCTTTAATTTTAGAGCAATTAAAAAGTATATACTTGCTATATGAAAGGTAACTATATCAAATACCATTGGCTACAGCATCCTTCTGGTTGAGGACATATATATAAATGGCTCCTAAATCTTTCAGGCTGTTTCCATGCCTTCTACAGACAGCAGAGCAAACAGCAATGGGTTTTCTAATGGCTCCACTCAAACAGAACACAGACTTTTTATGGTGGATTTATCCACCACAGAAGGACAAAAAGTTGCGTTGTATTTTCATGAAATACTTGTATTTCAGATCTGAGCCCGAGTTATTCCCTTTGCTGATTTTATTCATATGAAATTGACTTGCATTTATTCTCTATGTTTATTTGAAAGATAATAGCAGGATGAACAAATAAAATAAAAAATGGATGTGTCAACACAGGGGGGTGAAAGAAGATACTTATTGTGTGATTTGTGAAGAAGCACTGTTACATAAATAGCTTTGTGGTAGAGTCACCGTTTCAGGTGGCTGCGAATGCAAGCCTCTGGGCACTCAAACGCACTTCTCATTCTGCAGAATCATTTGAAAAGCCATGCAAACCTAGCATCGTGAAGTGTCTTTCTAGAGCAGGCAACAGTTCTCTCATCACACAAAACCAGAATAAGCAAAATCAATACACCACCACTTTCATACGGTCAATTCAGCTATGACTCTTCTTTCGAACTAGCTAGGCAGGCACACATGCTCTCATCAGGTAGCAGGAAACAATAAAAAGCTCTTGACTAGAGCACATCCATTGTAGACACATTTAAGAACTTTTCTGTGTACATTGTCTGAATTTTTAAAAGAAACTGGGAAACAAGGAGATAGCAGCATTCAGTGTTAGTCGCAGTGTGAAGCAGCAGAAACAAACAATCAAGGTGCTTCAGCCATTGTAAAGTGTTCAGCTGGAGAAGGAAAACTGATAGAGAGTTTGCAATTAAGACAAAAGGCCTTGACCCAGCTCAACAGCAAGTCATTCAGCTACCTCAGTGTGCTTTCCACCAGGCTGCAGCTATGCCATACATAAACAAGGCAAAATACGCATTCCAGGAGGACAAAAAACATGATCCTACTCAGGAAACCACTAGAGTATTAACTTATGGTAACATTCTCTTCACTGCATTAGTCAACTACAGACAGATTGAGTGACGTGACCTAAAAATACGGGTTTGTAGTTTGGGTTTTTATTTAGCTATTTAATAATTTTGCACAGCTGAATATTTAAGAAGATTTTCAACTTTCTACGGTTACGTTAAAGGAGATGAAGAAGTATTGTGCCAATAAACACGCGGTTTGCCAAGTCATGATAATCTCCTTTGGGAAGGCACCGCTTCAGGTGTTCTGTGCGGAATGCAATGTACTAGTGATTCAACCACTGGTCAACCGAGGTCACACAAAAAAATGCATGTGGCATGAAAAATTAAATATGCTGGCTCTGTGCTGTTATTCTACTAGTTCCGATACGGTGGCACAATTTGGAAAATATGGCGTAGGGAGTGTCTCTGCAATATTCTTTATACAGACAAGTGAGATAAAAGGCCCACTTTGTAATATAACAGTTGAAACTAAACCTATCTACAGTGGTTTATGGTGGATTATTTGAGGTGGAGGGTGTCCCTTCCTTTTAATAGTATTAAACCATGCCACCAACAGAGAAAATGTTGTTAATTCAATCAATGGTTAAAACAATCTAGGAATGTATGAGGAGCTTTGTTAGGATTTTTTTGCAGTGGACTTACTATGTGTCCAGTATTCTTTTCTTACAGAGGACACAGCAGATGGGAGAAAGTGGGCACTTACTGTATAAGAAGAGAAATAGGGCCATGTCTAGCTATTACTGCTAGTCAGAGTAGATTTATTTTTTTCTTGGCTAACATGCACTATATCAAAACACTAAAGCATCCTGAAGTGAGGTAAGAGAGGAGGATAAATAGGGTGGGTGAGAAGTGCAATGTATTAAAGAAAGAAATTATGCAGAAGTTCACCTGCTGTTGTCATGATCAAGACATGGAGAAGAGCATCTGCAACAGAATAGATGATTTAACATCAAAAAGGAAAAGAAAGGGAAAAAAAGAATGAGTTAAATGAAATACTGAAATATTGGAAAAATGAAACAGGTTTCTAAATTGAACACATGAACATATACATATATATGCATATTCACTACATGTGAGAAGGCAGGAGTGAGTATGGAAAACAAGCCTACATCAACATCCTTCATTACAAACGGTTACCACTAGTGCAACAGTAAAGCTAGAGTGATCTGGTTTCTCTACATACATTCTCAAACTGGAAGTCAGGTACCTAAAGTGTACAGTTAGATTCTGAGTAAATCTTTCAGAACCAGATTAGGGGAAATGCTGCTTGGTTCAGGTATCCACATTTGGACCATGGTGTATCAAAGAGTAACGTATCTCGAGTAATTCCAGCCAGCATTTCTGGTAACACAATAAATCGTGATTTTCTTTTCTTCAAATTTCCTGTCAATACATTCTGTCCTCCACTTTCTTCCATTTCAACATGTTTCTTGTCCTCCTTTTGTTCTGCACAACAGAATGACAAACTTCAACCTTTCAGTTTGACCTGTTTAGGCTCCTAGTAACGTGCCACACAGCCACTTAGTTTTGTGATGTCGTTTTATTACATGTTTCGCCATTGCCATTTTCTTCCGCTGACACGAACAGCAATGTGCTATTAATGAAACACACCTGCTGTTTTTCCTTATTGTAACCTTCTGAATAAAGGTCATAAAGGCTACAGTATAATTTGAAACTGTTTAGACTTTCAGATTTTAGAAATGACTATCAGCTGGTCGCTGCCAGGTCCTGTTTCCGTAACTATTTCCAGGAAATTAATCTTACATTGGGGAAAACAATATTATGGATTGAAAATACAACACTTGAAATACAGTTTGTTTACCTTGTTAGCAAGGATCCAGCCTCCTTTTTTGCAGACATGCAGCTAAGAATGATAATTCACATTATTTGTCACAGTTTGAGCTGCCCACTCCCTCCATCCTCCTCCCTTTTTCATTGATGGAAGCACCAACTTCCAGAAAGGTAAATTCACTAATAATATCCCAACTGTTTAATTTTGTCAGATACAAGTACCGATACACTTGGGTCATCTATTGATCACATAGGGACTTCCTCATCAAATAATATAAAAGAAATCAGTATCTTTCGTTAAAAAGGAGTTTTACTGTGAGCAAGTCAGAGTTGGAAAAACTGCAGAGCTCCTACATATCTTGCTCTAGAACACAAAAACAAGTTAATATCAAAGCACAGACTCAAAGCTCCTTCCGCACAGTGCCAGGCTCCTGACAATATGTCAGATTTCCCTCTCCTCTTATCTACCATACTTTTACATATTTGTCAGTAACATTCTTACAACTATGATCTATACAACTAAATTGTCGAAGTTTTTTTTCACTGTATCACCAGAACCCAGCTATGAAAACAACATCATTTTGCACATAATTGATACTGTAAAGTCTTACAGTTGGCCTTATCTTTACCATTCACACTTAACTCCTGTGGGTGATCTAGACATAAGAATGTGATACTGTCAAGCAATGTCTAAATGCTGCAAGTGAAAAGAAACCTTTCAGTTCAGTGGTTTTTTGCCTTCCAACTTCATGAAAATACATGTGTTCTTCCACCATAGGGTATTGTGAGGTATTAGATTAAAACTGAAACGCATTTGCATTTATGTAGGCATTAGTTCTGTCTCTCGTAACACCTCAGCAAAAAAAATACAGAGTATCCCCTAGTATTACCAGCAAAGCAGTAAAACTCTTACCTTACTGGATATTTAGCAACCAAACTTTCTGGCATATTCACAGGCCCTTAACTTTGCTCAATATGTAAGATCAGATAGTTTTATCAGGAGAAGCAAATCTGATTTGCTGAAAGGAAGTTTAAATGCAGGAATTTATACTTTTTCCTTCAGCCAATGTGTGAAACTATTCAGAAACTGTTAGCTGTGTAAAATGACCAGGAGATGTTTATGTTAAAATCGTGAGCACTGAAAGAGTGTTGTTACCTCTTAAGAGATAATTATTTTCTTGTTTTCAAAATTGCCGCCAAAGACTCTGACTACAGATGTTGCTTTTCTTTCCTTATTGATGAAATTATCAACATATTGAAACAACAGTTGCATTTAAACTTTAAATGGATGGTTAAAACATTTTCCCTTTCTGAAATTTCAGACACAGGAGAAGTTTCGGTTAGTTACGCAAAGACTGAAATACATGCCTGTGAAATTCCACACCAAGAGAACACTCCTCTATGAATTTATCCTTTTACTTGGGGGTGTTACACTGCGATCCACAGAAACACTTCCCTACAATGGGAGATCAGGAAGAACCCAACGGCAATTTGGGGTTAGCCACTGAAGTAGTGCAGGGAGACAATGCTGTCATTTTTTTCTCAGATTGCACAGAATGCAAAATTAAGAACATCTCTGCCAAATGAATTACTGTCCGATACCTTGCTGATGTGTTACTTTATAAAAACACAGTCTGAATTTAATACATTTCCAGCGTCCTGGGCAAAACCAAGGCCATAGCCTTGCTTAAAGCCACTAACAATGTCTATACAGGATTTCTTTTCAAACACTAAGAGTTTTCTTTCATGACAGGTACATACTACTTCAATGCGTGCACCTGAAATGTCAGCGGTGTTGCTAGTTCGTAAGAACCTAGCAATAGTGTGTGTCTGCGTATGGAGGAGGGTGTAGGTGACGAGAAGGGTATAAATGACAAACATATTTGTTGTTGTTCCAGCTAAGTGAATGTAACAATCATGCACACAGTACTTCTACAATTGTTTCACTTTTAAAGTCTTAGAAGCGGAAACTCTAGTAGTCAATGTATTTTCCTAAAAAAGATACGTAAACAAGATGCACCCCAACAGTTTATGGTAACTTAATGACTCGGACAAATCTAAGCAAGATAAAAACGGAGTGTTGTACAGTCTTTTCCAAAGGCTGAGTAATCATTATTATAGATTTCTTTATTACAATATTTAGTGGCAAGTTAGTTGGTATGTGTAAAAAGAAGAACATAATTTGTGTCATGTTAAATGTCACTATTTCATACAAGGCTGCAGAGAGCGTTGCTGCTATTAAAATCAGATATTCCTCTTCTACCACTAGCATCGTAGTCATCCAAAAAGATCTAAGTATCACTAATTGTTTTTTAAAGAAAGACACAAAATGAGTGCACATCCAAGAAATAAATGCCGCTGTCCTAGAAAGTATTTAGTTCATCCTCTGCAATCACTGGGAAGACATACCTTTCCAAAACTGAAAAGTAATACATCCTTTGGAAAAAGTCTGTAAACTATTTAGGGTTAGAATAAACCACCAGAACAATTCTAGAGCTTACATACTGACATATATATAAACACATTCATACTGTACACATTAAGTATTGTCATTTAATTTGTTAGTTTTAGAGCTCAAGAAAAGCAAATCCAAACACTGGTCACAGCCAAATATCCTGCTACCAGCTAACAAACAAACTTCTCGTATATGTCACAAATCAGGCAGTTTGCAATCGCAGTTATGACAATATTGTTCCTCTTCTAGACCAGGACTGCCTGTCATTCCAAAGGGGACTCCAGTGTTATTTTTGAAAGATACGGACTGTAAGATTGTTGCAAACTCATTTGAAATTAACAAAAAACCCTTCTGCTTGTGATGTCCAGCCATGCTGCGCACAAGGTAGCTCCGCAGAAATTACATGCTTTTTCATGACATCAGTTTCTTACAAATTCATCTGCATATGCCTCAACAAATCTGACAGCCGGACACAAGTGTAGAATTCAGTGTAAAGAATGAAATGACTTAAACCACAGTAAGTAAGAGCACTTATAACAAATGCACTCACAGATTTTGGGGTCAAGCAGGATAAGCTTTGTATGTATGAATTTGGCTGGGCCTGCATTTTGACCTGTCTTACTCCATTTCCATGAGCGTGCCTAAATGCAAATGCTTGCAAAGAGTCAGATGTGAGAATACATGAACGTTGCGGTCAAATATGTGTAAAGCACATGACGTTTAGGTTGCTTGTCTACTACATGGTTCATGTACTTTAAAATCCTTGGTTTCTTTTTTTAGTAATCATGACAAACACTAGAGTTGGTGCTTACCTAAACTACTTCACTGGCATAGGAAGTACACACCGTCTGGAGTGATAAGGCCCTTGCTCTCAATTATCACTAACTTTTAAAAGGCACTGTATTTATTTCTCTGTAAAATTGACACAGATGCATGTGCGTATGTGTCAATTATCTCATTCATTCCTCTTGAACTTGACTGAAAGCTCACTGACTTGCAGTGATTTCAGTGGATAGTCTTGGTCCCCAAGGCTTGCTTGATGGTCAGAGTTTAAGAAATCCTAACAGTTTATGGACAGCTCTAGGAGGCAATGAATTAAAATATAATTCCTAGTTAAGCATTAGTTGAAGCTGCTGCCACTGCAGGTACTCTGTTTCTCTTTTTTTAGTATAATGCTAATTGATACACTCACCCTGAATGAATAGGGCTGGAAGAAAGAGCCACATTGTCCAAGTTTTCAGGGCCCCAGCTTAAGCGATATGAATTCCTTTCAGCTTCTTTGGCCAGAGTTGTTACCTTGGTAAGCAAAAAAACCCTCCTTTTTACTACAATACAATCAATTAATCAACCAAACACTAAGAAGATGTATCTTGCATAGCAGTGCCTAAAGGGTTTAAACTTTTTTTAAAAAAAGAAAACAAAGGAATAATAATAGCATTAGGCTATTAGAAACCTCTTACTGTAACATTTTGTACTTGCTTAGAGTAATTCTGTGTTAGTGGTCCCAGTGAAATGAATGCTGTGATTTACCAAAGTGGCATTTCCTAGATTTTTTTTTTTTTTTTAAAACTACAAGCATGCTTCAGGACAGTATCTTTGAGGACAATGGCTTTGAGTTCATTAGATCACCTGAATATTTAGCCCAATGGCTGTTAGCGTCCTTCAGAAATCGGTTAAAATGGAGGACATTATAAAGACAGTCCCTGTCCTGTATTCACACAGCTTATCCATTTACTTTGGAATAGTGTTTAATATTGCACAGCATAATATGTCATTAAATATCAATGAAAATCAGAGAGATTTATACTCAAATAAACAAAGCAGCATACACAACATGGTATCATTAGTACAATCTAAACCGTAATCTTATATTTCCGCATTTATCCAACCGATAAGTGAACTTCAGAGAATTTGCTTACCTGCTGGCTGGGGATTACAACCGTATCGTCAATCATGGCGCTGTCCCTCAGGTAGGACGCATGGCTCAATGTGTGGGACCTGTCTGAACTGAAGGATCGCAGGCTGGTAGGTTGGTAGGGTGCCATAGCAATACATCAGCAGTACAGATGATGTTGGAAAGGTGTCATGATAGATCGAGTGGGAGAATGAAAAAAGCGCGCTATTAGCAATATGATGCAGCTTCCAGGGGGAGCAGATAATAGTCACGGGAGTTAAAACAGAGCTTTACAAATGTGTGTTATGCTACCTTTCTGACCAAGGGCCACAAAGTCTTTTAACTGACTTACTTGCTTCAAAATGCAGAGTCTGGAGATTAATCTAGCTGACAGTTTATTTTACACTCAGAAATACTTTATACTTGGCTTTGTGACATGATAGTTTCCTTATAGTAAAGAGCATGAATTTCTTTTAAGTAAGGCTCTTCGGAGAAGTTCTCTCTCCTGCTACGTCACACAAGCAAACCACTATGAAAAAACAGAATGCTAACATCTAAAGAAAAGCTGAAACGACTCTTTCTGAAGCTTTGTTACGGTCAACTCTCTCCCCTCAATACTGTAAGTAAGCTTGATATTGTCCCCTGGAAGGTACACACAGCAAGGTGAATTGTGGCCAGCCGCAAGCTCCTGTGTAAAACAAAATTCTTCCTCTGTATGCTGACAGCATCTTTAGAGAGGCAGACCAAATGCAAGCACTGTTTTCTTTGTAAGTACACACAGCTCTACAGAAAACCGGTTGCTGTAGCAATGAGATGCAAGGCAGTAAATAAGCTGCTTCCAAGCACCGGCTCAGAATGTAACTGCAGTATCCACTAGCAAAAAGCAAAAGAAGACAGATATGACACCACAGAAGGTCATATTGAGGTAAATGGGGTTTCTGCTACCAAATAGCACTAGTTTTGCCCTTTAAATATTTACTAGCAGCAGTATTACAATAGTGATTTTTAAAGATAGATGAACCACCTTCAGATGTTGTACCGTGTACTCTGTGATGTCGTTCTAATAGTACATATCACTGAAGGAAACAGCTTGATTTTCATGGCTTACACATCCATGAGTAGTACTCATAATGACTAACACACTGGATCAGAAAAATAGGCCATTTATCTAGATAAATAGATTTTTAAGGGATAATTCATTTTCAGCAGTTAGCAATAAAAAAGTCATGTGTACATCATGGACATGAGATTCAAGTGCTTTAAATGCGGGTCTTGTTGGAAATGATAGTTTACCATCCGATACAGACCAGTCAGGCTTTTTTAACAATAGCGACAGTCACGCAATGATTTTTTGATCCCTTTTTAGTTATCTTCTTTTAATTAGAAATGCATGACATTGAAGAATAATCCATGCTATTGATCATTGACTTATACCAATGGCCTATTTAGCATACTTTATGGATTGTACAAAATTGAAAGCAATGATAAGTATTACACAAGGATCAGCCTTAGGAAAGTCTTGAGAAAAAAACCAAACCAACAATAAATAATGTCTTTTACATGTCATGAAATGTCTTTCACTCAGACAGATGGAAGAGGTGAGACACGTAAGGCTGGTATTATTGGAATTACACATTTCTGGAATAATTCTGATTCCATTAAAACAACCAACAAAATTTCAATAGGGACAGAAGTGCACCTTAACTGTCTGCATATGACATTTCAGAAGAAAATTATGAAAGAGAATCTTGACTGAAGAGTATTTTGGTTGAACTTTTCAGCGTGAATTGGGTAGGCAGAGTACACCTTGCTTGTTCGTAACAACAGTAATTCAGTGAACATTTATTCTTTGGTTGAAAAATAAGCCTCAGTAGCAGACCCCATTTGCCATCATTATCCTTTATTCATTTCAACATTGGACACTTTCAGAACTGCTTCGCTGTGCCATGCAACGCTTGTTAAGAGTTTCACCATCCAAGTTGTAGGTTCTGCTATTCAGCTATGTCATGTCCTGGATAGTTACTGAACGAAAGGAAGTAGGTACTAGATTTGACTGGTTATCTGTATGGCGATTTTCTCCATATTCTCCTGCAAGTACCTGGCATTGCTACTACCACCACTGCAAGTAGCCCAGTACACATCCACTATGTAGTACCTGTATGTAAGCTCCAGCAAATACCCAATAGAGTGAGGGTTTGGACTTTATCTACAGGCAAGGTATGCATAAGCATGATGGAGGTCTGCAGTAGAAGTTTAAATTTCCTACTACACTTAATTTCAAAACTAGTGTTCAGATGACACCGCCCTTCTTCTGTGTGCTGTTCCAGCTAAATGAAGAGCAAACCAGCAGTTACAAGGGCTATGCTTCTGAGACTTGGAGGTACTGACTGAAACAACAGTCCAGTTACAGAAGCGTAGTGGCACTGAACAGAAGTTATTGTTTATTATTGTAGAAAGTTTTTTAAAAAAAACCCTAAATCACAGAGACAAAACTAATGTCTAAATATAGATTCTTTCCAAATCTGGTTGATAAATCTTGACTCACAGGGGCTGTGGGGTCAATAGCACTCTGCTTGGCCCCAGAGACTGAGCTGTGGAACCTGGGAACGCTACAAAGCTCCTGAACGTAAGAGTGTGTCTTGCCCATGTTAGGTAACGCACAGGCATGTATTGCCCACCTCTTCTAAGCCCTGAATAAAGCCCAGGCGGTATCCAGGAAATAAAAGCACCGTACTGTAGCCCAGTTTCTCATCTCAATGACTGGGAGACCATGCTGCAGTACACATCCACTTGCCAGCCTAGCCAGAGCTCTAGCAATCTCTTCTCCAGTTGAGTGTATCTCTTGTTGTGGGAAGTATATGTTGTTTCAGAAGCTGGGAAAAGAACCTGGTATCATTGAAAACTGTATGAATCAGCCTTGAAAACGTTTCTCTATTTAAAGACTGAAAGCCTTCCTGATACCTGTCATAGACCAGAGGGGTGGAAGGGACCTACAATGAAACGGAGTCTTTTCAAATACTGGTGATCCGGTATGGCCCGAATGAGTTCTGGCTCTCAGTCTCCAGAGGGAGAATCCAGCTAGTGTAGTCCATTCTCTTTATTTTTAATTCTACCACTGTTTCTTCACATAGAGAAGGAAAATGGCTAACCTTCCCAGCAGCATGGTGACGGAAGGACAGCTACCAGCTGTGTTGCTGAAGTGCACCTTCCCTGATCCTTGCGAACAGTATCCCTACAGGAATCAGGGAAGTTTCTGTGGGACAGTGGCTATGTCACACTGTGACCTTTCTAGACAGAGAGTACTGTTGGGTCAGTATTCACCACTACATATCATACTCATGTGAGATTATAACTATCTCCAACGGCAGCATTGTTCTTTTGTTTCTCCAAATCGACTTTCCGGCATACAGCAGGCCTCCAAAATGGATGAAGGGAGACAGGTGCCATAAAAGGATATAGAGACAACATGTTTTCATGCCGTGTAATACCTACCTGGGCATGGTGCTAAGGAAAGCATATGAAAAAGAATGAAGGGGAGAGAGAAATAAAATAAATAGGGAAGATGGTTACAAAAGAAAAAGATCTGTTTTTAAATCAAATTGTTTAATGCATAGGATTACATGAGTCTAGACTGCTAATACTATTTTGCTTTACTGAGTTTCTTGAAACAGCAAAGTCAGTGTAATGCAATGAAAATCACATTAAAGCGAAAGTAAAATAATTTAAGCAGTCTCTGTGAAGATTCTTACAACCAGTAACCTGACAGTGACAGAAAATGAGACCATGGAGTTAGAAAGATGTACTTTTTTCTTTCATTCTTTCTCCCTTTATAATTTTGCTTCATTTCAATGCTTGATACAGGATGTGAAATAATTTTCATACAACACAAAATAAAACACATCAATTACATGTCAGTGAAAACCTACTGAAATCCACTGACAGTATTTAAAAGCTCAAATATTCTAAATGAGAGCAGAACTGGGCTTAACACTCGCCTGCACACTCATTTCTATACAACATCTTAAAACTACAAAAAAATTAAAACTTTGTTACCATTGAAAGCATGTGATAAAAGGTTTTGATTTTTAAGCATTCTGATGTAGATCGTAAACATCCTCCGAAACTTAAAAAGCCACACAGTCACTTTGTTTTCAGTGGATTCACTGGAGCTGTCTAAAAACCAAGAAAGACTCCAAGCTTTGAAGACCTGAATGATGAAGGATTTACACATGCTGTGAGGCAAACCAAACTGTTTCCTGACATCTTTTGTTCCAGGAGCAATTCATAGCCTACTGAAGTAAACAGAATGGATCCTACTGATTTCACTGAGCTTCGGAAATGCTGCCAGAATAACAATCAAGACTGGAAAATGAGGTAGGTTAAAAATTCCTTCTGTTGCCAAGAGCTCAACTTTTTTTCTTTTTTTCCCTTTAGTGAACTCCAATTCTAAAGGCAGTAAGTCTGGAGACATTACGAATTTACACCAGACACTGTCATTTTCAAACAGGAATGCCTGGGTAGCCTATTCTAAACTAGAACTGTGGGTGTTCATCTGCCAGTTTGAGGCTACACTTGCGCTCACTAGTAAAGGCTTCCATTTTGAAAAGGGAATTCTGTATTTTTGGTAGACTATAGTGACATTCTCTAAAATTTAAAAAAAAAAAAAAGATTAAAGCTACAGGCATTATTATTCCACAAATACATCTAGGCTTAAGTTCAACTTGTTAGATATAAGCAAATCAGTAAGTTTTCTGGACTGAACACACATTCTTTTTTCTAATTCTTTTTTTTGTTTACAACATAAATACTGTCCTGTGCCAGCAAAAGGAAAATGATTCTCTTTCCTGCCAATTCAACCATGATGAAACAGAAAGAGCCAATGTGCTTGCTGACAATATACTCGCTGCCAATCCAATGTGGAATGACCAAATCCACTGTTCCTTTCCTTATATCTATAGCAAACTACTATAAAAAGTCAGCTCACCTAGTGCCAAAACACCCTGTCCACCTATCCGCCCATCCCCTGACTTATGACAGGAGGAGATGGGGATGATTCGGATGCCCTTTCCACAGACAGCTAGACTTTTCTTCCTCTGCCTGACCACAAAGACAATAAAGCAAGCTATGCCTTTTCAAGAACCAAGTAAGAATCACAAACTCTTCGCTAGACTCGGAGCACAGTATTAGCACCAAATGTATTAATTTCTGGACTGGTCAGGAAATATTCTTCCTGACCACACCTTCCTCCTACAAAGTGGCAACTGCCACGCTGACATACCTAATAAAGAAATGTTGACCAGTGCATCCCATGTCTCCCTTGAGTTGAAGACCCCGAGAAAGGGATTTCAAACATTTATAACAAAATGTGTGCAGAATTACCATAAGAAAAGATATGTGTCCAGGCAAATACCTGTCAGATCGTCCTCCTTCCAAGCTGTACCTTAGGTAGTTCATACCATCTAAGAACTGGCTGCTTGGTAAAGAGTCATCTCCTAGTTCTCTGAGGTCTTCTGGCCTAAGGTACTCTCCTCCATCTCCTGTCATTGTGTCATCACCTTTAAACCAATCACAGAAGGGACAGAGATAAGCACACACACAAGTTTGATTTCATTTCCAGCTTGGGATCTAACAGCTGGGTGGCACGATAAATGGGAAGGCATTTTCCACTCAGGAAACACTGCAAACCACAAGCAATTAATGTATTTAATGAAACTGGCACATCAAGCAAGATTTAAAAATAAAAAAAAAAAAAGAAGGAAAAAAATTAATCAAGGTGATTAATTAATTAGATTTAATCTAAATTTGCTGTTGCACATACTGGTAAGGGGCAAATTTTCTTTGCTACTCTCTAAAGCATGGTCTCTCTGTTCCTTTATCCATTTCAGCTCTCTGGTCACAGCTCTACTATATCACAGCCTGACAGTCTGTGATTAAATATAACTACTTACTTGACCGTAAGCTATGTGTTTTCAGCTGAAAAGGTGTTTTCTGTGGCCTTATGCCTGATAGTTGCAAATCCTAATTTAAACTCTCCAGTGTCGAAACTCCACATCCTATGAGGCTGTCTCACCCATGTTCCAACATCCTTCTGTGATCAGCAAAAAAATTCTTATTTCTAAAACATGGCAATATCCAGAAACTGAAAATAAGCTGTGTCCTGGTTTGGTATAGATGCATAGATGGTAATGATCATTAATCAGAAAAGTAATTGACAATGACTCAAAGCCTAAATGATCATTGGTTATCTGAGGTTATCTGACAGAGTAACCTTTTTGCATATACCCTGAATAACAAGGTTTAATTTTTTTTTTTGGTCCAAAATTATTTTCCCCAGGAAATTCTGTCTATATGAAGTCACAGTTTGCTTTTCCCCAGCAGACTAACAAAACAGATTACATTGCCAAGCAACATGTAGATGTTTCTTTTCATTCCCATTTGCAACACGGTTTCTCTCCACAGTTTCTGCCTGGAGATTGCAGATTTCCCCATGGTTAATGACTACTGTATGAGCTTGCCAGAGGCTTGGCGTGGCCCGCCCTAGGGCACCGGTATCTTCAAACTTTCTCATTTTCTACGTTGCATGGGCAAACGCCAAGAACCTGAAGCTCAATTACACAAAAGAGACTGCAACTGTTATAGAGGGACAGTCTTCAGGGGCTACACATTCCAGGTGCAGTAATTCACCCCGATATGCTGAGCAGCACGAAGAATTGTAAAGGTTAGGTAAGCAGTATCCATCCTGTTTCAAACAGAATTCATTTGGGCATCAGGAGATTTGCCACTTGTGTGATTTAAAGTCTTAATAAAGCAAAATTGCAAAAACCAGTTATTGTTACTGCTGCTATTTCTGGTAGAGCATCTTGCCCCCTCGTGCAAAACGTTATTGGTATTACAAGCTATCGGAGTAGTGCTCACTGCTTAAGGAAGAAATCTTGATATTTGTTTTCATGAAACAAATCAAGGTAGTTTTTCTAGCTTGATGTTTCAGCTAATAAATAAATAATTTATGATTTGTCATCTAAAACTAAGTAACCTTTTGGGGTTTTAAGATTTTTTGTATACAGAAATATTATGTGTAAAAATGAGGCCTAAATCTTTTCAGTGTAACAACAAAAGCTCTTGAACATTCCATCTGCCCACATTAAGAGGGAGAAACTGGGCACAGTTTCACAGAAAACAATAAAATGCATTTAATCATTGCATGTTTCCTGTCTTCTGACAGATGATGCCTCCTGTTTCCTGGGAAAGTCACATTATAAAGCATGGGGCTTAGTGAAAACTTGGAAGATATTAAGGAAATGCAATTAATCAAACAGTAAAAGGAATTTCAAGTTATATTTCAAATAAACTAGATACTTATAATCATGCCAGACATTCCATCTATAATAGAAACAAAGGCAAAATCTTCACCACTTTCATCACGCCCACATGCTTTACAAAAAAAAAATAAAAAAATAAAAAATTTCAAACTCGCTACTCTTTCAGCTTTGGCGTCTCATCTAATCCACATGCTTTACAAAAAAAAAAAATAAAAAAAAATTTCAAACTCTACTCTTTCAGCTTTGGCGTCTCATCTAAGAGTTGTCAATAATGGGTCTAAGTAACACTGGCTCTTTTATGTGATGTGAACATCTGCAAAGAGTCGTAAGACTACCCATGAATATTTCACAATGTCTTCAGAACATTTATCTATTGGTAACAGCTTACTTGCTAGCATATTGGTCTTGAGGGAGTGAACTAGAAGTTCAAGTCATTCCCCGCCAACCCCTTGTGCCCTTCTAGCATTCCTTAATGAGATGAACTCCCAAGACAAGTACCACCTCCTAGTATGGGAAGGGGAAAAAAAAAAGATGTATTTAAGTCTAAATGATTGCGTAGCAACATAACGTTTCACACAATTGTGGTTACCCGAGTGTCTTAATTCCTGTGTATTTAAGTCTAAATGATTGTGTAGCAACATAACGTTTCACGCCATTGTGGTTACCCGAGTGTCTTAATTCCTGCTTAGCATGGCAACTGCACAGACGCAAAGGGAATTATTCTGAGTCTGTGTAACAAGCGCTCGTTCATCCTGCCAGTAATAGTGTGTTGTCATTAAAAGATCTAACACAGCCGTATTTCCAAGTCTCGGCCAATTCAAATGTACACAGACATGTTATTTGCCGAGAAGAAATTACATATTCAGCTAACCATGAGCTTCTTTACACAGCAGCTCTTACCAGATGGTAGTTTTGTGGCAGTACAAGAAATTATCTTTTTTAATCATGCTAGAAATGATTCATCTGCCATCACATTCCCCGTCAAATTAACGACAGTAATGTTTGCACCACTTACTAAGCAGTTTGTGACAAATATAGCCCTTGATGTTGATGCTCCATGATTTGCAGTGGCCATCTATGAACTTACAGGTGGATTTTGATGAGTTACCCACTTAGTGATTTATCTTCTATTTACTTGAAAGAACACCTTCCTTTCTTCAATGATACCAACAGGCTTTCAGAGGTTTACTTGATGGGGAAAACAATGGGTGACCTTGCACTGTGCCCCAATTAAAGCATTCCTGATCAGCCTTGGCCTCATCACTGCTACTGCCCATCTCTCAAATATCTCTAATGTTGTCCAAATCTGCAGTTCTGAATAACATTGTCTTCTTTAGGGCAGGTTTGAAAGGAAGTAAAATGCACTAGAAGGAAGTATCAAGTACCTGGACTCTCTTAAAAGAAACACTGGGGTTTTACTGGTAAGGACATTGGAACAAGAAGTTAAAAAAAAATAAATCTATATTTAAACAAAAAGTGGTCAATAGCTGAGTCCCTGCAGTTACCGCTGTTATTATTTTTTCTCTGCAGAGTGCAAATAACTGCCAATACAACGGGTAGCTTTTCCAGAGCATAACACGCAAAGTGTCAAGGTCCCACTGCACTCTCAGCAATGATCTCGTTCATCCATTAATCTGTTTCCAGTGGCCAAAGTAATGCCCTGGAACAAGATGCAAGGCCCCCCAAAAGCATACATTCTGTACAGGTTTGCAACACTTGGGGTTCATTTTTTTCTCATCAGAAGGGAGACAGAAAAAAAAAATAATCAAAGGGGAGAGATCATTTGAAGCAAGAAGATGGATACAAAGGGTGGGAGTGGCAAGGGCCAGGTTGCAGGGAGGGGGGATCACAGAGACAGCATACATTTAGCAGGTTCCAGGCCTGTTATTAGGAAAAAATGAGAAGGAGATACGGACCTGCTGAATGAAGTGCTAAACATTCCTATGAGGTGTTGGCCACCTACAAAAACTATGGCTGGTAAAGCCATACATACCAGTCTGCAGAGCTGTGCAAGCATCCTGGTCCAGAAGCAGCCGAGCTACGGCGATTCAGTGTTGTACCTGAGCAAACAAGCTCTCCCGCAGCAGGGCCTGCTAAGGCTGACCTGAGCAGGCATCCCCCCGCACTTCTGCGCCATGATGTGCAATAGAGGTGGCACTAGCTAGGGAACTTCTCCACCCTGCTGTTTTGTAGAGGCACTCCAAAAAACCCAAACAGCTTGTTCTCACTGACTCAGAAGACCCTGAACCTTTAAGACACCGCTGCCACAGAAACCGTTCAAACAGCAGCACCGCTACCGTTCTGCAGAGCTTCCCGAGGCTCTGAGGGAGCCTCACACAACCACAAAGCAGGAAGCACACAGTTTAGCGTACAAGGAGCAGTCGGTGCTGCTCATATCCAGTGATGGTGCAGTTGGTTAGGCAGGCAAAAAATGGACAAGGCAGGAATGGGAACCTTCACTACGATCTTTTAAAACACAGCTGCCTGGAATTTTTTCTGTTTGCCTAGACTGGGGAGCAGGAGTAAACTCCATTGCCAGTCACTGTCAAAGCTACACAGAACTGTTTCAAAGTCTGCGTTAAAATAGAGCCAACTAACTTGCAAAAAGCCACAACTAATTAATTTCTTGCTCAAATCATCAATATACATAGGATGACTCTCAATGGTCTGCTCCTCTTGTTTTTTTTACATTTTATGCTGACCACATATTATTTCTGTGCATCATGAATCCATAATATCCAAATGCAGCAATGGATCTCACTGGCTAATTTCTAGATACCTGTTAGCAGGAAGGGAAGCACCTGGGCAGATCTGACTGCCCACTCAGACAGTACATATTTGCCTTACTCTAACCGAGGAGTACAGAGAAAATGAAAAGCTAATTCTGATACTGATGATTTCACGTGTTTGAACACAGGTTCTGAGCATCATAAATCATTAAAGGGACTGCCAAGAGAAACGGGCCACATGCTGAGGTCACATATCTGCTCCTTCAGTGACAGTTTGGCTGGACACACAGGATTTTACCACACCATCGAAATGGAAGACGCACACTGATATTGCTGTACTTTACTTCTTAGTTTTCTTAAATTCTACAAAAGCAAATGGCATGTCCTACCTATATAACTGGTTAAATCAAGCCACAATCATGAACCACCTTGAGGTCAAAAATGTTTTAAATGCAAAGTAACATTTACAAGATGGTAGCTTTGAGGCACCCAGCCACATGCAATTCT